AGGGCTTAGGCCGGGATGAAAGTGGAGAAAGACCTTCTGTTCGCCCTTAGGAATCAGCCGTCCCTCCCCCACCTTGAAAAGACATGGCAAAGGACAAGGTTCGGAGATCAAGTTCAATGTCCAATTTATTTTTTTATAACTTGAAACCAGAACAAACTCGGTTTTTGAACAAGCGTACAAATGAAATGGCAGACACATGCTGAACTCAACATCGTGACATTAAGGGGAGGGGAGGGGGAAGAGGCCCAAAATCTTGTACAGAGAATAAAAGGAACAATAAATAGTTCACTAAGCCATATTGAAATGACCTCCTGCCATCTCAACATTTTCTCCATATTTAAAAAAAAAAAAAAAAAAAGTGCCCGTTTCTCAAACAGGGCACCGATACCAAGCAATAATAAATAGTTCAAACTCGTAGCAAAAGACAGAACCTCCAAGTAAACAACAGAAGCTCATACAACAATAGAAAAAGGTCATAAAAACAGTTCGCCTGGCCAATACAAATGCAAACTGAACTCGATGGGACTTGGCTTTGTGGGGACAAAGGGGGAGTACAAAGAGCACCAAAATCACGAGGTCGCCTGGGTTCTGGGTTCGACACCACGTCGGTCGCCCAGCTGCCCTGAGCCGGGAAGGAAGGCCGACTTCCTTTCCTTCTCGCCCTCTCCTCTCTTCACGGCTCAGCCTCCCCCTCTCCCCACGACAGACCCTCTCATGGCAAGTGGCAGGTTCCTGTGGGGGCAGCGCGGAACCACGCCCTGGCAGTGTGGGAACCAGCCGACAGCGGGCTGGGCCGCCTGGGAAGGGCCCTCTCCCGCCCGGTCCTCTGCTGCAGTGTAGACTTTTGATACTTGGAAGAAGCAAAATGCTCTCTCTTTTTTTTTTTTTTTCTTTCTGCCGTCGGTGGACGGAGACACAGTCTTTGTGCTTTAGGATGGCTTGGTCCTGGCTCCTGGTGCTGGGGCTGAGCTGGGAAGAGCTGGCTACGTTTCTCACTACAGAAGGGTCACCGGGGGCTCACGGGGCAGCCCATGGGGGCGGGGAGAAGGGGCTCGGGGTCAAACAGGTAGAAAGCTGGCCCCTCACCTTGACTTCCCATCCCCTTCCCCTCACTTCCCTGTGGCAATGGTCAGTAGCAAGGAGGAGAGGGAATTTTAAGCAGAAAAGCTCCCGGAAGAAAAGTCTCTGCATTTGGTAAAGAATTGCCCCCGATGGATGCTTATACTTTCATAACCTGAAATAATGGTTTCTTACAGTTCCTGAAATAAAAAATGGCTTCCTGATACATGTATTTTTTTAATGTATTATTCCCTCATCCAAAAAACTACCACTTTATCATCTTAAAGCTACTTGGCTTTACAACGAGAGAGAGAGAGAGAGAGAGAGAGAGAGAGAGAGAGAGAGAGAGAGAGAGAGAGAGAGGAGGGAAGGGACAGAGAGGGAGAAAGAAAAATAAATTAAATGGAAATGAAAACAAATAGAGGACCAACCGAGGTGGAGGATGGAGAAGAAGATGGGGGAGGGAGAGATAGGGGAAGGCACCGATCCAGCCCAGGCCCTAGGCGTTTGGAAACGGACGGAATGTAGCTTTCGGACAGAAAAGCAGCAGCAGGGCAGGTCAGAACAGCTGGCCAAGACTCTCTGTGGGATGCAAGGTCCTGCCTGCCTGGGGGCTCCCTCCCGAAATCCCCTTGGCGCTGGTCTCTGCTGCAGGTCAAGTCACCTGCGCGAAGCCGACGGGCCACCTCCTCTCCAGACGCTTTCTGCGTAAGGTTTTGTCAAGGACTAGAGTGAGGTCAGTTTGCATTTCTTCCTGCTCCTCGGGGCGGGAGACTTGGTGGCACTGACTGCCACGGGGACCGTGCAGACAGAAGGTGCTCATTCGCTCTCTCTACACTGACCCCTACAGATGGCCTCTTAGAGAAAGGGAGGACGCTGGGAACTGTATTCAAAAGCTGGTTTCTTCACTCAACAGGGATCACGGATCTCCCCCGGGGCTGCTGGGGCCGCTCTGAGGGGCCTGGGTGCGAGGGCTGGGCGCTCTGAGGGAAACCTGGCTCCAGCCCTTCTCTGCGGGGGGCCGGTTCCGTCAAAACCACGCACAGCCCCAACGACTGGGGACCAAAGCATCCGAAGGCTTCCGTTTGCTTCCTTCCCTCCGGGGTTGTCACACAACCCTTTTTCTCCTGTACAATAGGACTGAACATACAAATTTTTTTTTTGCAATATTTTATCCTGCCAAATTAAAAAAATATATTATGGCAGCCTGTTTTTGTTCTTTTTCTTTTTTATTTCCAAATTCACTAACAAAAAGGTACATTAAATCCCTTTAAAAGGACAAGCTTACAGTTAAAAAATTACAAGCTCCAGTAAAAATACAGCAAGTGCCTACATCATATGAACCGACCAATATATCCATTCCAGAGGGAGGTGGGAAGAGAAAAATAAGTACAGGTCAGAAATGATTTTTTTTTCTTCTGCAAAGCAATAACAATATTAAGCACTTTTTTTTCTACATACTTTTTCTACATGGTGTAGCAACCCCCTTTTAATCCCCAAATACAAGTTTCTATACATTTTTTTTGAAATAAAAATTGAACACCCAAGGCAGAAAAAAATTTACTAAAACTCCGACTTTACAGTTACTGTGACAAGAACAAATTTATAGACCCACCATTTAAATGTTACCGCAACGTTTTCAAGGAAAAGCAAAAAAAGGTATTTTTTTTTCTTGTTTTGTAAAATGCCCAGGCATTCTCGATTATTACAAATACTGGTCCACTTTTACAGGAATCAAGAAATTTTAATATATATCATATATACTAAAACCCCATCACCGAGAGAAAACAATATACACGCAGCCATGGTGGCATCTTTTATAACCTATGAAGCAAAACTTTGGGGGGAGGGGGGGAATAGGACCTCTCCGACACACATACACACGATTTTTGTTACCCTTGTATGTATCCAATACTGTAAACGTATTTTTAAGACAGAGTGCACTAAATTTACCTTTAGGAAAAAAATCAGCCATTGTTCCTGAATTGTGTTTTTTGTTGTTGTTGTTGTTGCTGTTGGTTTTTCATTCAACGATACCAACTTGTCTAGTGAGTTTTAATTCAGCAGTAAATCACCTCCTCTCCAGATCTAAGCAGCGTCGTCCCACAAACAAAAAGGGGCTGAGGACCCGGTCAGCTAACAATGGTAAGTCCGAGGTTGTGCTGGGTTTATGTCTCCATCTGATCGGGCCCGATGGCATTTTCACGTCCTCTAGCTTCCACCAGGATCTTTTTTTTTTTTTTAATTAGACTTAAAAGTAAAATGTGGCTTTGTTTGTGTCTAAAGAATGTACTTTTCTCGTTTTACGTTTTTTAAAAAGTCTTTTAGTTTCAAAAAAAAAAAGTTTTGCATTTGTCTCAAGAGACTGAAATAGGAAGATCGGTTTTCAAGGCACTCACATCGCATCGAATGGCAGTAAGAGAAACTGTCCAATAAGTTATTATTCTGTGTCGTTCTTTATAGTGCCAGTATTGTGAATGCCACGCTTAGCAACACTGACACTCAATCTCAATCGTCCCTTATGCAGCCCACCTCTGGGCCAAAGAGAAGAAATATGCTGCAATTTCTTGTTTAGAAGCCATTTCATTTAAATGCAAACAAAAGCTTTAAAGTGCAGGGTCAACAGAATTCAAACATCTAATCTCACGGGCTTAGTACCTTCCAACCGAACGGGAGTGACAAAAAGGGAAGCGGTGCTGGGCGCCTTCGGACCGACCTCTTCCCCTGCTTTCCCCGTGAAGGGAACAGAAATTGGAAAAGATCCCGCCCACCCACCCGGTCCTTGGAATGTCACGTGTGCAGGAAATGAGGGCGCTGGCGTCCCTCTCGTCACCATCGGGGCACTTGTCTGCTTGTGAAATGGTCCATCCTCACTGACATGGGACCTGGGATTTTCGTGGTGGGGTGAGAACAAAGGAGAGAAAGAGAGAGAGAGAAGCTGGCAAGCCAGAAGAAGCCTGGGGGAACCTGACTGGTTTCTTCCTTCCTGTATCCCTGCAGCCCACCACTACCGACCCCAAAAAGGTACCCTCAGCCCGTGTTAGCCTCTCCTATGGCAAATGGCTAAGACGGCATCCCAGGGTACACCTCCATCTGAAGGCGTCTGCTGGGAACGCACAGTTTTAGAATTCTCCGGGGCATTCCCCGGGGGGAGCCCTCAAAAGCTCCTGTTTCTCTGGCAGTGTGCAGAGTTTGGGGGACCCTCTCCCCCACCACGCCACGTTCACCCCTGTTATGAATGGGAAGGCTGAAATCAACACAGAAAAGGCCCCTCGTTTCTCAGGACATCATCAGTGCGACATCTCCACTCCAAATCGGAAACAAAGTGCTACAACTTTAAGATTGTTATCCGCTGTACATCCACTCCCCGCCCCGCCCCACCCCCACCCCCCTAAAAAAACAAAAAAAATGCATGCCACTTTTTATTTCAGGACAAAAAAAAAGGGGGGGGGGGGGTTGATGTAAAAAAAAAAAGTAAACAACTTTAAAAGTCATTTAAGTGTTGGCTTCTTCACAAGAAATTACACATGCTTAGCTTAAAATTTCCACACAAAAAAAGCAGCGCCCTCCCTCCCAAATTATAATTTAAAAAGCTAGGCTTCCCCCTTTACATTGCTTGCGAGTCATTGCTCAGGCTTTTACTGGGTTTAAAAATTTTTTTTTTTCTTTTTTAATGAAGAAGGGATGGATACCCAACAAAATCTTTCAAAAAAGGAACTCAAACAGGAAGAATCATAATAATAAAAAAAAGTACCTGCACATGCAAAAAAAAAAAAAAATTACAAAACCCAATAAATACAGAAATTATTGCACAGTTAAAAAGGCTCCACAAGTTTGACTGCCTTCACCACCCTCGGGGTTCCTAGGACTTCGCAGACACAGGTTTAGGTTGGAGAGCCGCCTCCCCGCGGGGGCGGGGGCGGGGGCGGGGGCGGGGACCCCCCCAGGGACACGCGGGGGTGCTCAGTGGCGGTGACACGGAGGCAAGTGTCAGGTCAGCATTCTGTCGCTTGGCAACGGTTCCACTGGTTCCACTGTACAAGGTGCGGGGCGGGGAGAGGGGAGCCCTCCCCCCGCCCGGCCTGCGCACGCGCACGCACTCACGCACGCCCGCACGCACGCACGCACGCATGCGCACACAAGCGCGCTTAGCTCCTCTCGGCCTGCTCGATCTTGACGTCGTTGGTCAGCAGGTGCTCGCCGTGCCACTTCTTCATGTGTTTCTCCAGGGTGCTGTAGACGCTGAAGGGCATCTGGCAGATGTCGCAGCGGTACACCTCCTTGCCGATCTGCCCGTGCGTCTTCATGTGGCGCGTGAGCTTGCTGCTCTGCGCGCACGCGTAGTTGCACAGCTCGCACTTGTAAGGCCGCTCGCCGGTGTGGCTGCGCCGGTGCACCGTGAGGTTGCTGCAGTTCTTGAACACCTTGCCGCAGTACTCGCACGTGTCGCTGCGCCGGCCCTCCTTGGAGCTCGGCCGGCCGGGCCCGGGCCCGCCCAGGTGCGGCGTGCTGCCGCCGCTGGCCGTGCCGCTGCGCCCGGACAGCCCGCCGTCCAGCAGGTCGCCGGGCGGCGTGGAGAAGCGCAGGCTGCCGTTCTCGGACGAGTGCTCGGACGACGTGGCGAAGGGCGACTGGCGCGCGTCCGTGAAGCCCAGGAAGGGGTCCTTCATGAAGTGGCGCGACGCCGCGTAGCCCACGAGCCACTGCGAGTACACGTTCTCGGAGGGGATGAGCGCGGCGGGCGGCAGCTCCAGGTCCTTCTCCACCTTGATGCGCTTGGCCGCCGCGCCGTGCAGCCCCGGGCTGGGCAGCGGCAGCGGCGGCGGCTTGCGCGGGAACAGGCCCGGGAAGGGCTCGGCGCCGCCGCCCGGCACGAAGCCGCCGCCGCCCACGCCGCGCCCGTTCACCGCGCCCCCGGGGCCCCCCGCGTCCCCGCAGCCGCCCGCGTCGTCGTCGTCCTCGTCGCCCGGGTCGCCCGCCGCCGCCGCGCGCTTCAGGAAGCCGCCGCGCTTGGGCTTGTCGGCCAGCAGGTCGCCGTAGGGCGGCGGCAGCGCGCCCAGGCCCGCGTTCTCCATGACCTTGCCCAGCACCAGCGCCTTCTCGTCGGCCAGCGCCTTGGCCGCGCCGCCCAGGCCGCCGGGCACCCCGGCCACCAGCCCGCCGCCGCCGCCGTTCTCCCGGTGGCTGCGGCTCAGCTCCGAGTCCATGCTGAAGCTCGACTCGGGCCGGCTCTCGTTCTCCAGCAGCAGCTCCTCCTCCTCCTCCTCCTCCTCTTCCTCCTCCTCTTCCTCGGGGTCGTGGCCCAGCGACGACGACGGGTCGCTGCCGTGGTGGTGGCGGAAGTCGCCGCCGCCGCCGCCGCCCGCCTGGAGGCCCTCGCCGCCGCCGGCCAGCTCGCTGGTGCCGGGCTCCGGGGAGCTGGCGGCCGACAGCCCGTCGTCGGAGCGGCCGCCGGCCAGCGAGCCCGCCTTGTGCAGGTGCGTCTTCATGTGGCGCTTGAGCTTGCTGGCCTGCGAGCACGCGTGGTCGCACAGCTGGCACTTGTAGGGCTTCTCGCCCGTGTGGCTGCGCCGGTGCACGATCAGGTTGCTCTGGAACTTGAAGGTCTTGCCGCAGAACTCGCACGACTTGCTCTTGGCGTGCGGCGGCTGCAGCGGCGGCGGCGTGCCGGCCCCGGGGGGCATGGGCGGCAGCGGCGGCGTGCTCAGGAACGGGGACTTGGGGCCGGGCTGGAAGGGGTTCAGGAGCCGGTGCATGGGGTTCCCGCGGCCCGGGGACACGGGCGGCGGCGGCGGCGGCGGCGGCGTGGAGCTGTTGCCCGCCAGCTCGCGGAGCCGCCGCGAGAAGTCCATGGCGGGCGAGTCGATGGCCATGGGGTTGAGGCGCATGACTCGGTCGAAGGCACTGGGGTGCTGGGCCACCAGCCCCATCTCCTCGGCGGCGCTGAGGCGGTGCGGGTCCAGCGGGTGGCGCGGCGGCGGCGGGCTGAAGAGCGGCGGCGTGCCGGGCAGGCGGCCCTCGTGGCCGAAGCCCGGGTGCTCCCGCAGCAGCGGGCCCGCCATGCGCAGCAGGCTGAAGGGGCTGCTGTCGCCCAGGAAGTTCATGAGCGGCGACTGCGCCACGGCCTCGGGCCCCAGCGGCGGCGGGATGGTGAGGCGCGGCGTGAGCGAGCTGCTGGCCGGCCCGGGCTCCAGGTAGATGCGGAAGCCGTGCGTGTTCTGCGCGTGCTGCAGCAGGAACCACGCGCTGGTGAAGGGCTGCTTGCATGTTGTGCAAATGTAGCTGGAGGGCTCGTCTTTACCTGCGGAGACACACGGACAGAGGCAGAGAAGAGAGCGTGAGATGCTACCGCGGGGCCGCTGACCCCCCCGGGAGGTGCTCTGTGGGAGGCCCGCCCGCAGGGTGGCGATGCTTGGGCCAGGCCCTAGGTGTCCCCGGCCCGCTGGGGGCTGGAAAGCCCGCTGTGTGGGCAGGCTGCCCGGCAGAGCCCGGACAGGCCATGGGACCTCGGCCAGTCCAATCCCATCGGCCTCCGTTTGTGCCCCTAAAGAAGAGGCATCCTTATTCGCGTCCGCTCAGAAGCCAGGTGAGATGTGGGCGAGCATGCCCGACTCCAACAACGGGGATGATGTCAAGGTGGGACTGCATAAAGGTGCCCTGCCCACACCGCCAACCCTCCCGAGGGGGTAGGGGTGTCAGCCAAGGCCTGACGGACATTGAGACCCCAGTCATTGTCGTGGGGGCTGCTCTAGGCACTGTGGGATGTTCAGCAGCATCCCTGGCCTCTACACCCGCTGCCCACCCCACCCCCACCCCCAGTCACTAAGATAAAACATTTCTCTAGGCATCGCCAACTGTCCCCTGTGGGGGGGGGCAAAACTGAACTCCCCCCTCCCCCCCTTTGAGAACCACTGATGAGGCAGTATTTGCTCTAAGGAAGTTCTAAGAAGGCAAGCCAGGTGGAATCACTTTGCAAAGACTTTTTTTTTTTTTTTTTTTTTTTTTTTTAGGAGAAATGGCTGCATTGTTTGGGATTTTAACTCCAGGAAATTCTAGGCGCAGAAAGCATGATCAAATGTCAATGTGGACATGCAGGCACAGAAGGAATTAACATGTTATGATTCTGCCCCTCCGTGGCCTCACACACGCACTCTGACCATACCCACTGCGTGGGGTCGGCTTCCACAGACCCCCCAGGAGGGGGAGGGGGCCGTTGGCCTCCATGAAGTCCTTTGCCAGAAGGTTAACCGAATGGAAGAACATCAGGCCCACCTCAGCAGCCGGGACCAATGGCGACAAGCGAGGGTTCGCTACACCCAGGGGAGAAGGGGAGTATTGGGTACAGACTATCACAGACACGGATGGCACTGAGCCCGAGTGGGGAGTCTCGTCCGTCACAGGGGCAGGCACGGAGCTGAGCGTTCCGTCCAGTGGCCGCCCCCCTCCACCTGCAGGTGAGGCCGCCGCCTGTGCTGCTGCCCCACACACGGTCAGCGCGGGCAGGCCCTGCCTCCGCCACCAGATCCGCCCGCTGGCCGGGGGGAACGGGGAGCAGGACATCACGGCCGCGACCCGGAAGAACCCCTTTTGTTCTCCCCGCCTCCCCCGTACCTGGGACACCCTCACGCTGAGGAAACACGGGAACCACGCTGGTGACCATAACCCGTGTTATTGATGGGAGGTACAGCCGGGTGCCCAGGGGAGAAGCCAGCCCCCTCCTCCCTCGCCGCTTGCCCTGGTCCATGGAAGGCCTTCTGAAATCCTGTACAGAGATTCAGCTCCTGTTTTCCACCAAGGAATTATATTCCTGGAACCTGCTACCTCAGCAGTCAAAACCAAGGGACTCGGACCCATGCCGTGAATTCCACGCCGGTGGGTTCGGCTTGATGACCCCCCCGGGGGGTGGGGGGGGCAGAGCCTCCCGAGCCACGGAGGGCGAGCGATGTCACAGAACAGCAGGCCGGCCAGGGCGCAGGGGGTCCATTCTGCCAGCCACACAGCCGGCGGGGCCAGCTTGGCGGGTGTGCTGTCCTGCGGGATCATCTCACTCTCGTCTCCTCTGTCGTGTCTGCGCGTGTGGTGGAGAGGAGACGGCTGGGCCTCAGGCCCGCACTCGGGGGCCCCAGGAGAATCTGCCCACCCGGGAAGTGGTGGGGGGGTAAGGGGGGTGGAACCTTCCCAAGGCCCCAGGGAGCATGTGGGGGTGCGGGGCCTCACAGCACCCCTTTCTGCATGCCACTCCGCTAGACAGAAAGTGCCGCTTTCTCGGAGGCACCGTCTTCCAGCCTCGCTCTCCATGGGAGACAGAACTCGCTGCCTCCTGCAGACCCACGGAGACCAGGCCAGAGGCCATATTAATAGTCTCTCTCTCAAACCCTCCTCTGGAGCAGGATAAATAAGTGATGACTAAGAAGCAGACCCATGGACGTCCCTTTCTGGCACAGGGGCTAAGAGCACAAGTGAAGGGCCACACCCACAGGTCACAGGGCTTCCAGGTAAAGGGGCCTGCACCTGGGCGTTTGGCCATTCCTCAAGGCACAGCCCCAGTGGACGCCTCCCTCTCCCCACTCTCCCTTTCATCATCTTCATTCCCATGGGTACCTCCAGGGCGTTCCCATTTCCTGCTCTGACAGCCACGGATTTTCTAGAAAGTTCTATAAGTCAGAACTCTGAGGCAAGCTCTGCAGCCGAAATGGCCGATTAAAACATTTTTTTAAATAAATAAACTCAAAATGGCAGCTGCTGGGGAACGTGCAGCCACACGTCCCAAAAGGCTCAGACGGCTGGTTCCACTCCTGGCTCAGCAGCAGGGGGAAGGCCCGTGTACACCTCTGACTGGGCGCGGCCCGGAGGAAGCTACCTGCCTGCTGCACCCTCCGGTGTGTCCCTCACACGGGGTTTCTGGGCCCCTCGTCACTCCAGGGTGAGCGCTCTCCCTGCACCCGGAACGGCTCAGCTTCCTGGACCCCCCTCCTCCGCAGGCAACCCTCACCCGGGCGGGCGCTGGCCTTCCGGGACCCGACGGCTTCCGACGTTAAACGCTCCGGCCCTCTCAGGCCTGCCTGACCACTCTTCCCGCTTCCTGTTGTAAGAAAACGTTCATTTCCATGTTCCCGCCTCATGCAGAGCTCCTGCCTACAATCGCCTTGAGAACTGGACAGTGGCCGAAACCCGTGTGGCTCAGTGGATAGAGCATCGGTCTGTGGACTGAAAGGTCCCGGGTTTGATTCCGGTCGAGGGCATGTACCTGGGTTGCGGGCACATCCCCAGTGGGGGGCGTGCAGGAGGCAGCTGATCTATGTTTCTCTCCGATGTTTTAACTCTATCCCTCTCCCTTCCTCTCTGTAAAAACCAATAAAATATGTTTTTTAAAAAAAGAAAAAAGAAAGAACTGAACAATGTCAGAAAGTCTTCGCGAGCCACACGGAGCACTTTTCTATCCGGAACCCCGCGCGCGGCACACACAGTCACGGGGGCTCCTTCGCATACACAGCAGAAGGCCCGGGGGGAGAGGGCCGCCCCTTCCCCCTCGGGGACCAGAGGTTTCCTCGCCGGCACCCTGCCCGGAGGTGAACTGGAGCCTCCACAGGGGAGGACCCCACCAGGGGCCCAGACAGGACTCGCCTCCCACCGGGCCGCTGAAGTTCCAGCTGCCGGGCCGATGCTGGACCGTTTAGAAGTGACTCTCGCAGCAGCAGGAGGCTGGGCCTGCAGCCCTGGACACGTCAGCGGGCCTGGGAGTGCGGCCTCGGGCTTGGCGGCCAGAGCCCCAGCCCGCCTCTTTCCCTGCTTCCCTCCTTCCTCCCATGTTGTGAAGGCCCACGCTGGGTCCTCTTCGCTCTGCGGGCTCTAAAGGGAGCCCCCGTGTCTTTCTCAAGTTCAAAGCCCTCCGTGACCTCTCGGCGATGAGCTGGCAGTGTAGGTTCACGCCTCTGCCTGGACCCTCCCAGCACAGTGAAGTCAACCAGGGCCTTAAGCGCGCTGAGCCTCCATTTCCTCATCAGGAGAATGGGAACCACACACCTGGGGGGAGGGGCCAAGCAGGACCCAGTCCGTGGACGCACCCTAGAGAAGTCCCCGCTGCCATGCAGATGTTCGGGTTTGGGGCTTTGCATGATTTGTGTGTTGTTGTTTTTGTTTTGTTAATCCTCACCTGAGGGTATCTTTTTGCCATTGCTTCTCAGAATGTAAGGCTGGGAGGAAGGGGAAGGAGGTGAGAAAGAGAAAGAGAGAAACATTGATGTGAGAGACACACATCAACTGGCTGCCTCCCTTCCGTGCTCAGCGGGAGGGATTGGAATGCTGCCCACCTAATCCAGGGAAGCAGAAACTGGCAAACGTTGAGGAAACACCATTTTTTATTATGATGCTTGGAAACAGACCCCCAACTGGACTCCTGCAAAGAAATGCTCCTCTCCCTCTGCTGTTAAAGTTTTATATAAATTGCTTTCAAGTGAGGACAGGAGAAGGAAAGAGAAATAGAAACATTAATAATGAGAGAATCACTGATCGGCTGCCTCCTGCATGCCCCTCACTGGGCATAGAGCCTGCAACCCTGCTATGCATATGCCCTGGACCAGAATCAAACCAGGGGCCCTTCCACAGGCCAACGCTTTATCCACTGAGCCACACCATCTAGGGCCGTGGTTGGCAAAACCATTAGTCAACGGAGCCAAATATCTATCAACAGCACAACGATGGGAATTTCTTTGGAGAGCCACATTTTTTAAACTTAAACTTCTTCTAACGCCACTTCTTCAACATAGACTCGCCCTGGCCGTGGTATTTTGTGGAAGAGCCACACGCAAGGGGCCAAAGAGCTGCAGATGGCTCTCGAGCCGCGGTCTAGGGAATCTCTGACCATTGCTGCTTGTCCTGGATGTGTCCCACCCAGGGCGGCCTGACAGAGGGAGGTGGCCCTGGGGACAAGGCCTCGTCACAGCAGGAAAATGAGCCATCGTTACCTCCTCGCCACAAGCCAGGCTGGCTAAGAGCTGTCAGCCTCACACGGGCTCCGAGAACCCCGAGGTCAGAACCGTCAGCAGCACCATTCCACAGATGAGCAGCCGAGGTGGGAGGGGGACTCTGCTGCCGAGCCAGCTGTGCCGCTGAGCGTTCTGTAACACCCGACAGTCTGGTCAGGAGAAGCAGTGGGCAGGCCGGGGGTCCCCCAAGCCCGCGGCCTGGTGGCCTATGACTAAGGTGACCAGACATCCCGCTTTTGGCAGGACAGTCCCGATTTTTAACTATTTGTCCCGCGTCCGGCAACGTTTTTTAAAAGTCCTGATTTTTGTGAGGACT